CTTACTGCACTAGAATTTTTTTGAATGGATTTTTTTTTATTTTCATCGTTTTTTTTTTTTTTTTTTTAAATTTTTTACTTTCATCACAAGAACGTTTGGAGTGGTGCACATCACACAATGTATTACTGAATTATTTTCATTTTGAGCCGTGCTGATGTCACATGAGGCTCGATTTGTTTGACGGATGCTGCTGAAATTCTTTACGTTTCGCTCGAATTTTATGTTTTGTGCGTAAAATTGTCATATTTCAGATGAAGAGCTTTCAATAACATACTAATTAACGAATTACTGGGAGCAGGAACATTACTAACGGAGAGAGGGCCTTAACAATGATCATCAGAGCGGCGCTGTGCACGTGCATATTGTCGGCTGTCTTCTTCACCTCATTTCTACTGTATATTAATTTCCCTGAACTCACCGAGTAAGTGCTGCGTATTTTTTAAAAAGGGAGCTGTTACGAGGCTCACTACAATTCTTCCGGCCCAGTGTTGTGCTCGGTGCTCGCTTCCCAAATGTTGCAATGAACAGAACAGATTTTGAATTATCTCCGGCCGCTGTGCTCTACTGACAGTAGCTGTCGAACATTGCGTGCTTCTGCATAATACACGCAAATAAATAGCAACGCGCACCAGACTATCCGGTGCGCCATCATGCGTTTTGTGCAATTCAGCCCATCGAACGATTGCCTATTAATGATTTTCACTGCTTTGTACTTTAGTGTATGCAAAAATAGTTGAGACATTGAAAAATAGAAATTTCACTCACCTGCACATGAAGGCTGAATTCGAAACCTGAAAGGGTGAATATCCTTCCGTGATTCCCGAATTAATAGCTTACCCGCCAAAATTTTCACGAGACCGTAGGTGATACCCGAGAGCGCGGGAACGCTGAATTTGAATAGGCAGGGTTGAACGTGGGCAGAGGGTCATTATCGTAAAATTCCAGCTTCCTAGGCTCCGTGATTCCCGAAATAATAATTTACTCGTCAAAAATTTTTACGGGGCCGTACTTGTTACTCGCGGGCAGGGAAAGCTGAATTTAAATTTTCTGGGTAGCACATGGGCGGGGGCTTGCTTACAGAATTTCAGCCTTCTACCTTCCGTGGTTCACGAGGTACTAATTTTGCCCAAAAAACTTTTACGGGGCCGTACGTGTTACCCGCATGTACGGGAAGGTTGAATTTAAATTTGCCGCGTCACCCGTTGGTGGGGAACACTATATGAAAATTTCAGCCGCCTAGCTTCTGTGGTTCCCGAGTTGAAAGTGCGGGACAAAATGGGGACACACACACACACACACACACACACAAACACACAAACATTAACATACAGACAACCCCGTGACAATTTGCGTTTTGTATTGCTGTTACTCAGCACAAAACGCATAAAAAGAAAATGGACGCTCGAAGCACCCCCGCAGTGGCGTTGGCATATGCGGTAATGGAGCGGGAAGCGCAGGAAGGAGGGATGTGTAGCCGTGCTTGACAGGGCTGCTTCTCAGTAATTTCGAGAGCTGCTCATTGCTGGTGCGGACGATTGATCTTTGTGATAGAGTGACCGAATTAGAAATCGCTGCCACGTGTTATTCTACCACGTAGGGATATCTCGTCGGAGTGATCCAGGTATCTGCACGGAGCAGCGAATTTTCAGCACTCACTTGTAGCAGTGTGGCGAAGTGCATTCTGTCATTGTTCTGGTGTTGGCAGTGGGAATTCGTCAAACTGGTGTAATCAACTGCAGATGGTTTTATGAAATGCTTACAAGACAGCAAGTTTAGGTGATCGTGTCATCACCCTCGAAGATTCATTCGTTACGCTAAAAGTGGAAGAGGGTGAAGGGGAGCAAGAGATTTTTATAGAATTATTTTGTTTAATTTTTATCGGACGACGCAGTGCTGCCTGCTCACTGGACTTTTGCAGAGATGAACGAGCTGACTTCAAATTGCCGAGAGATTTGGCAGAAGCGAAACGACTTGGCTTGGTTCTTTCAAAATATAAAGACAGACATTACTACACCGTTCTTCTTGGCATCTCAACAATGTACATCGTGTGAGTGATCAGTTCGCTTATTTCCAGGGCTGTTAGTTGCGAGGATAAACAGTGCCCGGGAACTGTGCAGCAAACGTCTTCTTGTCTTGCTGCATGACAACTTCACATTTCCATCATTCTGTGAATAGGCACATCTGCTGACTGATTGCATTGCATTGCGTTGCTTGATGTTTCAGGTCTTACTGTTTCAGGCTGCAGTCACTGGCCATTCCAGGCTCAATTTTTCTCACTGTATTGGCTGGCTATTTATTCTCATTTCCTGTTGCGTTATTTCTTGTGTGCTTGGTTAGTTTCAATAGTTTATATGTTTAGTTATGCTTAACAATTATGCATATATATGTATATATATATGTATATATATATGTATATATATGTATATATATATACATATGTATGTGCATGTGTACATGTACACATACATATGTACATATATGTGTACATATATGTACGTGTATATATATATATATATACATGTATATATATACGTATATACACATGTATATATATATGTATATGTGCATGTATATATACATATATATGTATATGTATGTATACATGATTGTTAAGAACATTTTGTGCTTTATTTTTTAGAGAAGCCAAAATATGCAGATCTTTACAACGAAATATAAGATTTCTTTTCCTGACTTGACACTGGATGATCTTACTCACACCTGTTTCAGTGCTCGGCCTCTGGTGCGCAGATATGTTATTTCTTTGCACGCTTTTTTGGACGCAAACGAATTTTGGCATTTGCACCAGAGACGATCAGTAAATGGCAGAATGAGGTCAGTGACGTGGCATTTCTAAAAAATAAAAAGAGCGCAGAAACGAACTGTATTTCTTGAAAAATCAGCAAGAAACAGCTTGGGAGAAAATTTTTGAGAGAATGCTTTGTGTTGTATGCTCAGTTGGTCATGAAAAACGCCATGTGTTATTTTTTCCAGCTGGGCATGGCTGTTTCCGTTTGCATGATCAGTTAGTGTGTAAATCAGAACCTAAATCAGTTACTTGGGGATGAGAAAAATGTTTACGATGTTCTACCCGGAGATTCTAAAAAACTGGTGTGGCACAGTGCAGCAGGAACAGCTCCTCGCTCAATTTTTTCTTGCTTGTGCAGCTTAGTTTGTTTAATTTGCTTAAAGCATTCGTTCTAGCTTCGACTGTTCCCACAGCGTTTTGGCGCACACATGTTCAGCGTGGCTTTTTCCAGATTGCTGCATTCGATAGTCTTTTCTACTGCATCATCTTCCTGCGTATAACTCCAATCTTACCAAACTGGCTTATAAACGTTGCTTCGCCCGTTTTTGATGTGCCAGTAACGCCATTCTTTTTTGGCACGTTTATCGGTAAACAGCTTACTTTTTCTCTACTAAATATTCAGAAAAAGCACGGATTGTGGGTCGGTCACGCTGGTCCGTCTGTGTTTCTATCCGCTCGTTAATCTTTATTAGCATTCAGTCTATGTCAGTGAGCATTTTTATGCGTTTTTGCATATATGCAAATGCAAAAACGCATATTGGCAAGAAGCTGTCTCTATGTTCGCACTGTTTGTCATCCACTTTCAACTCGAGAATCAGAAAACTAGAGGACTAAAACTTCATCAGTATGTGCTCACACCACGTGTGGCCTCCCGCTTTAATATCATCACCCACGTACGCCTTGGTGCTAATTACAAACGCCTCAAAGAACATGCAAATTTTTTGGCGGGAAAGGGATGTCGGGAACTAGAAAGGAGAGGAAGCTGAAACTGTGCAGGAATATTCTCTGCGCATGTGCGAACTAAAATTCAGCCCCTAGGTGTGCATGGTTGTCATGCACGTGAAAGTTTTGGGAAATTTGCTAACTCGACAACCAGAAAAATTGGAGGGCTGAAATTTTAAGGGTGTATTCTCCATCCACGCGCAACTTAAAGATTTATATTCAGCCCTCCGATACGCGTGGT